CGTATTTGTTTATAATCACCCCAGTAACATGCCTAAACCAACTATCTGGTTGGTAAACACCATGAACCTTCAAGTAGACTCGCAACGTAAAGTCTATGGCAATGCCAGTGCCTTTGGCATTTTAGGCACTGCCACGTCGCGGAGACGGACCTGGCCAACAAGAGTCACAAGATTCAGGGAACGTCGAATCGGAATCGGAGACATCGGAGACGCCGCCTGGTCCTTTCCCAGGGTCCTGTCCAAGTGCCCTTGGTGCTCAGGGGTGGGCGGCGCCACCTGAGAAAAACCATTCTTCCCCAATACCCCAAGACTTTGTTCACAGAAACTGAAGCGGCCTCACGGCGCCTTCGGGTGTAAAGTCCAAAGTCTCGGGGAGCTGCGGCCTACAGGCCAGTTAATTGTTTCTAAGCATGCCAGAGCCTGCTCAGCGCTCTCCCAATGCACACAGCACCTGCAAGAGTTGATTCCTCTGGGCTTTCGCAGGGTGCTCTCGTGGCGTACCTGCCAGCCAAAATGCATCATGCACCCTCCAGACTTGCAGCGCTCATCTTGCCTGGGCATAGCAGGCTCTCCCTCACGTTGGCACCTAGCTCCAGCTGTGCCAGTTCTGCAAATCCTTCCTAAACATCTTGAGCTTGCCACTCCAGTTTGCCCCTTCAAGGCCGCCAACGGAATGCGGTATGCGCCTCAAGAACTCCCAGAATCCCCCACTTCCAACAGCTAACAACCAAAACAGCCAGGGCCGGATGTGGCTAATGACCTTGCCTGCGCCTCTCGAACCACACGGAAGTGATCTCGCCTCTGTCATTAACATAGTGATCGCGGCCTCAGCTAAATCAAACGCATTCGCGATTCCTTAGCGGGCAAGCCTGGCTCTTGCTGCGAACGAGGTGCTGCGCGCCTGCGTCAGGTAGATTTCGTGCTCATCACCTGGACTGCTCGGGACCACGCCGAGGCAAACAACATGGTTCCCACATTGGCTTGGCCAAGGTGCTGTTCGTGATGATATTCCAAGTGTGCCCACCCAATCGTCCTGCAACCGCCTGGAGGCTGGAGGCTGGAGGCTCATCGGATCCCCAAATGCAAGGCGAATGCAAGGCGCCTTGTCTTCAGCAGAGCAGATTGTCTTGTGCCCATCGTAGTGATGTTGACTCATGGCTCTAGCTTGGCTCTACACTAGCATTGGCATAGATGGCTCTGCGAGTTTCTATGGATAGACCTTTGTTTAGTAGCATGCTTCAAGTCTCTTCCACTGCCACTTAATCCTACAACCTCAGCATCTGCGGGCAGAAGAGATGCAACAAGCGAAAGCGAAAGGGGTCTGCACCGGGGGACCATGGGTCTAAGTTTAGAAGCCCGCTTTTCCGAATTACAGGCTTCTCAAATTCCTGCTGGGCCTGACGAATTCAGACAAGGCCCTTGGCAAGGCAAATCTACCAATATTTGCTGCATTTAGCTGCATATCACGCATATCATCGAGTTCTGCGCTGAGCCTTGCAAGAGTGCACTGCGTGCAGTACGCAGGCAGCGCCATAATGTGGGCCCCTGCACTAATTGCTCTAGCACTTTGTGTGCACTGCTTGGATTTGCAGTTGCATTGGATTCCATAATTGGGCAACCTAGAGTGCCTGAATAAAAAAACGAGACATTTTGCTGAGGCTAGGTGGCCTGAGACCAGCCGCTTCCCGTCACCTCCGCAGGAGCAATGGTGCTCCTTCCAGACGCGGCACCATGCGGCAGCGAGCAGACTCGTCACTACGCAAAACTACGAGGATGCCTCAAGCACCTGCCAACACTGCAGTGCTGGCCACGCGGTGATATTGCTGCAGCATGTACTTCTTCCTGACGGCCTGGGGCATCTGCTGCAACAGCAACATTCAAACCATCAGCTCACACAATGGGACCGGGAACCAGTGGTAACAAATTAAAGCTTTTTGAAAGACCAGAATACCCACGAACCTGCACGGCAAAGAGTAGCCGAGGTCAGACCGTCATTTTAATGACCATAGCCACTTGAGCATCACGACGTGTAGGCAAGCGCAGGAAGATTGCACAGAAAAAGGCATGGTTCTTTCACGGTGTACGGGTGCAGCTGCACTAGCATGGCCAGAAAACGCTGAAATCGCCACGTGTCTTAGAAAGATGGCCCTCAGTCTTGAAACATGAATGGAAAAATGGCAAATCCACCGCATGTCGTACGTATCTTTCTAAAGCAAAAGAAAGCTAGGCAAGGCTGGCCGCAAGGCAGGCAAGGCTAGCCCACCGACCTGCAGCGAGCCTGCTGGGGCTGCTCGCAACAGCAAACGCAACTCCTGCACGAAAGCGGCTGCGCATGGCCGCGCATGCTGCACACAGAAACGGTTCTCAGCACAGTGCGCACTGACGGTCCTCTACGCAGCCTCGCAGCTCGTCCTCAGTGTGTCGCGATGTCTGCACCTGCCATACTCTTGCAGTCTAAACACACAGCCTGTTGCAGAGCAGGGGCACCATGACATCTGGCCACAGCACAGCTCTGCTGAAGAGATCGTTGCTCAGCAGCACCGCAGCTGCCAGTAAGTGCGAGGGCCTTCGCAAGAGCTTCGGAAGATTTTGGGCCTTGGAACTCAACTCTAAGATCCAAACGTGTAGCGGATCATCCTCAAGTCAATCAATGCCTGAGACTGTCTGCATATCCCAACGCATTCAACGCAGTCCCAAGCATAATTTGAAGTGTTGGCAGTTTGAGAACCAGGCGAGCTCAAGGATGTACTTGATTGTTTCAGTATGCCGAGCATTGTCACAGTTGTTGGCCTTGCACAATTGAAGTTTGTTGGCAAGTACTTTCATTGAAAGTCTCCCACCTTCACAAACTGGCTAAAGAAGTGGGCAGGCGTTGGCACCACCACTCGGAAGTCCAAGGCCTCATGGCACAACAAGTTAAGTCGCTGCTTGTTCCCATCTGTCATCATTCTCGAGAGCATCAGGCCGACAGCATTGTGCATTCCATCTGCAGCAGCTCTTCCTGAAGAGAGTTGGAATGCTCTCTGGGCACGGTCCCAAATTCGACGCAGCCTTGCTATAGGTGTTGTCTGTGATGTATACGAAGTCCGTTGCACGGGGTGGGTCGATCTCTTCGAACTTAGCAGCCACGAACATGCCCGCCACACCCACCAGCTGCAGCCGCCTCTCACAGATCAAGAAACACTGATCATCGTGACTGCATGACTGGTGACTCGAAGCCTCCTGAGCACTGGCAGAGCACTCATGTGGCGATCGATGAGATTCACCGCCTGGGCATACAGCAAAGCAAGAAACAAATCTATTTATTTGTTTCTCGCTCGGAGGCTCAGCACGCAACGAGGAACAGCGTCTCTGGACGAAGCCGATATTTCATGTGAACCTAAGCAATCGATGCACCGCCTGATGTTGTCGTGGTGCTATCTGGGGCCCAACCTCCACCAACCAGTCAACAAGAATGGCTCGCATCTTTCCATTGATATCCTGCTGGGACTCCATGTAGCAAGGTCGAGGCAGGAACGTAGTTTCCTGCAAGATAGTCAGGTGCAAAATGCGCAAAACTTTGCAGCCCCTGCCTCCTCGAAAAGGCGTTCCATAATTTGAGGTACGTACTCTGCGGCAGATTGTGACCGTTGATGCGCCTCAAAACAATCCAGCACAACTAGGCATCCTGCAGGCAGCTTGCTCCGGGCCTGCGCAACAGCTCCTGGACTGGTCACCTCCATTGCCACTGGCGACTGCTCTGTGGTGACCGTGGTGACCGCGGTGTGCGGCACAATGGCTGTGTGCGGCCACGGCGGAGCCGGAGCACAGAGGGGAGCGCCGGGAGCGCCGAGTCCAAGAGAAGCTCCAAGCGGAGCGAGCGGAGCGCTGCCGAGCTGTGGTAGGGCGCTGGGCTCACGGGGCCGTGCTGCTTTCTTCAAGCGTGCATCGCGCGCGTCTTGCAAGTTCGTGATATCCGACAGGCTCGCCAATGGCCGACCGGGTCCTGGCTCAGTTCGGCACAAACTTCCAAACCGCATATCCGCATATGCAGCACAGCTATGAGTTCCAGTTCAGTCCTGCAGATGCTAGCCTCTGTGAACGAGCTGCCAGTCCTGCAGGGCAAGCAAGCAGCGAGCATCAGTCCACTTGGAAAGGCAGAAATGCCTGTGGTGCTCGTGGCCGCTGGTTTCCCTCTTCGAGTGGCTTGACCCAGTCGCGAAGCTCCGAAACCCAAGCTGGGGTTCAGGTTCTCCTGGAACGTGTAAAACGGTCAATCAAGAATGGGAGTCCTTCGAGTGGATTGAGGGCGCCACAGTGTCAATGTTCTGCATGAAACCTCTGGAACGACCTCATCACACGAGTCAACACAATGCTGACCTTGCACGGATTCACCAAAATCTCAAGCTGGTGGCCTGCTCCATGAGCCAGCGCAGGCCTGATTCTCAGCAGGTTCGGCTTACCTAGCTGCAACAGCCGAATCTTGGCCGAAAGCTCCACATGCCCACGGCCATTCTCACTCGGCATGGCTGCAAGTCGCAGGGCACCTCCCAAATGACACATAAATGATTTGTTGAACACAGCTCTGCAATGCTCTGTACTCCGAGCCTTGCGCCACGGAGAGATGCCAAAGGGGCTCGGCGCTTTTGCTAGCCAAGATGGCCATTAAGGAAACTTTGCTTGACAAACCCAGCAGCTGCAAGGAACTGCAAAGGATACATGAATGAGGGGAAGCAAGCCAACCAGCAAACCAAAGAGGCAGGGACGGAGAGAGAGAGAAAGACAAAGTCGATACTCTTGGCTACATTTTGCTGCACCGTCGAATCGTAGAGTTATGGATGAATACGATCGAAGCTCTTGGCGCCACTCTTTAGCAAGCAAGTCATGCGGATTTTGTTGCGGCTGCCGTAGATCTGGTTTGGGTCAATTCAGTTACAATTAAGAAGGACGGGGGTTGGATGGCAGGCCTTGGTGGATTATGGGCATGGACATCAGCTACTACATACGAAGAATGACGAGTCAGATCGGAAAAAGAAGGAGAAGCAAGGAAGAAAGGAAAATGTGTATGTACAAAACAGAGAATGCCAAAACTGCAATGCTGTGGTGGCCTGGCACGGGAACTAATTCTAGTTCATAACCAGCATGAAAACTAACCACGACCGTTTTCTCAAAACAAGGTCGTTTACTTTCATTGCGAGGGACAAAATAGATTTCAGGAGGTATTGGACGACATGTTGCCTTGCAGTCTCCGCAAGCAGGCAAAGCTTTTCTTTCGAAGAAACGTGTTTTTTTCACACCCGGCCTGAAGATCATCCTCCAAATGCACTGGTTCAGACTGGCCATTCTCCAGCATGCTGTTAGAAAAAGGGCTGCAGAGCTTTGTCCGAGAGGACTGTAGCGGGTTTCAATTGGTTTCTACCATTGCAATCGCAAGGACCTTTCAAGTTGGGATGCGCTGTCCAAATGCTGCCAAACCTCAAGCTCCTGCAACCTGGTGTCTTTTCCTCCGGCACCACTGTGCTTGGTAGCGGTGACTTGCCTTCCTCCGCAAGAGGCTCAGCTACCTCCGAGGTTCTGGCCTGAGCAGGTTTGCTTCTTGGGGTTTTGGCGAAGCACTCATCTCCTACTCTGTTGGACAATGTGGACTTTCAACTCAAACTCCTGATCTAGTACCGCACAAACAGCTGGCACCAAGGCCTTTCACATCCGTCACACTGTTTCTGGTAATGTCCCCAGCACGTGGTGCAAACCAGGCAAATTGCATGGCCAGACCTGAAGTCATCTCGTATGGGAAGTTTCAAGTGGGTGTGTCGATATTGGAAGCCTGGCCCGATGCAGGATCAGCAGCGGTAGCAGCAGAAGCAGAATTTATGATTATCACCCATTGCCCTAACATGGTGGTAGTGCGCTTGTTGGTTTGCTTGGCCAGCCACCTCCCCTGACATTGTTGTTGGTTTCTATGTAAGTCCAGTGCGTCGAGTGTTCACCGGTCATTGAATTTTCCCAGGAATTCCCACAACATTGATTCTAAACACAAGATTTCCGAGTTAGCAAGCTTTGCCAGCCTCTGCGCACACAGCAGAAGCCACACCAGGTTCAGCACCTCAAGGCCTTCAGGGCCTCTCCAGCCCACCAGCCACATGCCCCGGGAAGAGTGGGTTACAGGCGGGCATCCCCAAACCTCTCATCCCCAACCGCCAGGTTAGCGAGACTTTGCTCCAGTTCCACGGGTACCCCATACTCACACATACTCCGGAGTTCACTGATGCTCTACGGTTGCTGTGCTGTCAAGATTCCTCTTGAAACCGTCACAATACAATTCAAAGCAAATGCTGCCACATCGGTCTGCAACAATTTTTTGTAAATGTTGTAAATGTCTGCTCCCGGAGCTGCGGCAGCTCTGCCTCGGAGCAATCGCTGGCAAGGTGAAGCTGCTTCGCCTGGACCAGACTTGAAAAACGTCTCCACACATGCTATGCAATCCTAGCGCTAGTAGTTGTAGTAGTAGTAGTAGCAGCAGTAGCAGTAGAAGCAGCAGTAGCAGTAGTAGTGTAGTGTAGTGTAGTGTAGCATAAGTAGTAGTATTACTACTACTACTACTACTACTACTACTACGACGATGTGAGTGTGCATGAGTGCATGA